CTCGGACATGGCCACAGGAAGTGTGCGTGGGGTGGGGGGAGAGGAGGTGTCCGGTGTGCAGCACGCCCAGCATCTGCTGCGGTGCGTCATTTAAAAATGGCGAGCTGCACCATCAGGGAGGGAGGGAGGAAGGAAGATAGCTGCGGGGAAGGAAGTCCCAGTGGCAAGGACCCAGAGAGGGAGGACAGCTGCAGGGGAAGAAGCCCCGAAGCAGCGAAGATCACGGGAGGGCCAGGGTGGAAGCCCTGACTGAAAGCCTTCCAGGACAGGACTGCGAAGGAGCTGAGGACCTGCGTCCCAAGGCAGGCAGGGTAGGAAGTGTCCCAGGGCGGGGCCTCTTGGCCGGGCCCACGGGTTGCTGTAACCAAAAGGGGCACCTACACTGCCCGTGTTAAGTTTACCTTGGCTTAATAGGTTACCACACAGACCAAGAGAAGAAGCCCAGAGTACTGATATTTTGAGGTTTTCCTTTTCTATTGGTCTTCCAGGGTTCTTATTTCAAAAACTAAACAACTGGCACAAGACCAAACGAAGGTGAACCTGAGCAGTTCTAAAGACCAGTGCAAATTATTCAGGTAAAACCTTGCCTCACCCAGCCTCCATTTCCATGTTGGGACCTGAGGTTGCAGAACTCCTGAAGTTTCACTGTACTGACGGGACAGAGTGCTGGAACCCTATTGGGGGAGGCTGTATCATATTATGCGGGGTCTCCCTGCACCCTAAGGCACAAGCTTTTTAAGAAGGAGTCGATAGAGGCTGAAATGGGGGCAAATCAATGGATCTCTGGCTATGCAGTTCCACTACCATTGTGTTCTTGAGGCCTATGGGAACAGGAGCTCTCAGAGCTACTTAGTGTGTGTACAGTGGCTCTGCTGACAGTGTGAAAGACTGCATCCCCCATCCCACCATAACAGCCTGTCCCCTGTAGAGCTCCCCCACCTCTCTCTCAGTTACTTTGCCAATGTGCTGGGAGCAGGAGTTTATTTTAAAATAACTAAGAGATTGGAGGGCAAATGGGCTTACTGAAGCTAGAGATGAAAAAGATCTGCTCCCTCCCTCCTGCTTCCCCTCAACCCACTGCAAAATTATTCCCTACATTGATCTGCATGTAGGGAA